GGGACATTCCTGGTTAAATAAAGGTTAAATAAAAAAAATAAATAAAACTGTTGTCCTGAGTGTGACTTTAGGGTTCTTCTTCTTCTGCCCTTTTTGGTATGGATTCATGTTGTTTTCTCTTTTGAATTTTGGTATGTTTGGGGATTTTTGTATCGGCCAATAAATAAAGTTTTTGTTTATTTTTGCCTTCCTCCACATGCTGCATTTAGCCCAGAAAATAACATCACTAAAAGTCCAGTGAGATGAATGTCTGACTTCAGGAAAAAATGTATTTTTAGTATAACGATAAGATTTGTAAACCTCAAATAGATTTTACCATTTATCAAAGCCAATGGAAGTAAAAATAAGTACTTTTTAAAAATGGGGTAATATATTATGTTAAAATAGACATAATAACATAAGAGCTATGAAGAATGATTCTGATTGTTATTATAATGACATCATGCTTGTACAGATGTGTAAGCGTGGGAAATCTTACTTTATATTGATTTTAAATGTATTTTGAAAACATGGATGAGAAGAAACAAGGCCTACCTGCAGAATGATAGAGAGGAAGGCAGTTGTAGATGATGTCATCAGGACGTAAGCCAAAAGAATGAAAACCAAAAGCTGCGATGCGGTAATACCTGACAAAAAAGAACAACAAACTAAGTGACAGAAGTCATCATCATTACTTACTTATGTCATTATTTAAAGGATTCTCTTAAAAGTGCAGTTTTATGACTGAAATGTCGTAGACATGTCTTACAACAAAATTCAAAGAGTAAGTTTTATTAACTGTTGATAAAACTGTTTAGGTCCCTCAGTGGACTGTATCACCTTTGCAGATGTTTCCACAGATAAACTTACCGACTGTGCACCACTACAGCTGCCTTTGGCATTCCTGTTGTACCAGAAGTGTAGATGTAGAAAAGCCTGTCTGCAAATACAAAGAGAAGAAGAAATTTCCATATTGCATTCTCAAAACCTTTTGACGGTGTTTCACATGGGTGGCATGCACCGTGACGCTCCCGTCATTCTTTACATATTTTTTTGTTACTCTGTTTTCTCTCCGTCCCATACAGGCTAATCAAGTAAAGACTTGAAGCGTGTCAACAGAGGAATGCTAAGCAATAACAAAGACAAAAACAATGCCTTTGTTAAAAATAAGAGAACAAATGCACAACAATATAAACGATTGAATTGAACATGGCCAGAGTTGTATTTGCATGCATTATATAAAATAAAAGATAAACATTGTTCATAGTCTTGAACTTTGTAGTAACTTGATGATGATTCTTTCCATTTTTTTCCATTTTTTTGACACACATGTGAGCTAAATTTGAAAAGAAAAAATACGCAAGACAGCCAATTTTGGCAGTCGGCCATGCACTCTAGCAGGCAAAGACTTGCTAAGGACAAGAATGTGTTGCAATCAAATCTTGTAAAATGTCAAATGCAGCATACCCCTACCCACGTGCACAAATTCTACAGAGCCTCACCATTAAACTCTTTCCTTATCTTGTAGGGTGGTGGGTGTGTGGGTGAACGGGCCAGCAGAGAGTCCAAACTCTGAACCTGAAGCTCATCCTTGTCTTCCTGCTTACCAGTGCTGAACAAAACCATGCTGGGCTGCAACATGCTACTCACCTCTGTTACAGCTGGAAGACAATCAAAAGTGTGAAAAATGTAAAGCAGGCAAACCAGCACATGTTTTATTAGCTGTTTTATTCCACCTCTGGCCAAATAAGCTCTGTATTTATCTTATAAATAAAGTATATTTAGTTCCCACCTCCAGTCATCTCCGATCCAAACACCATCGCTCGAGCTCCAGAAACACTGAGACAGTGTAGCAATGACTGCTGTCTAAGGTTGTAGTTGATAAGAGCAGCCTCAACACCTATTATAGCAAAACCCAGCCATAAAGCTGCCATTAAAGGCTGACTTTCCATGTACAAAGCCACCACATCCCCCTCAGTCCAGCCCTGAGCCAATGCCCAGTGGGCCACAGCGTGGCATCTCTCCTGTAGCTCTCTAAAACTCCAAACCTGAAATGAAATGAAAATGCAAAATCAGTCATCTTAATTCAGTTTATCCGCTGTTTTAATTAAGGTGCTATGTTTTCTTTCTATTTGTTATTCTTGATGAGACCTCACCTCTCCTGTGGCCTCATATATCAAGGCGGGCTTGTCTGGGTGTTGTGTCACTACCTGGGCAAACAGGGCAGGGATGGTTCTTCGGTTTCGACGATGGTGATACATGGAAATTCTCACTTTAATTATAACAGCCAAACACCTTTTAGACACAAAGAAGAGGAAAGGAGAACGGTGAAGGGCATTTGCAAACAGGAACGGACCAGCATAGAAGCAAATGTGGGACAAGCCCATGCAAACTACCTACTTACATGAGGTCTCTTTTAACAGTATGCAAAGCTATATGAATGTTCTTCCAAGATCCCATATGGACCAAGCACAGCCCTAGCCCCACCAGCAGACTGCAGAGCCAGGGGAAGGAGCGCAGCCACACAGTGCCCAAACCAATGAAGCTCAATATGACACCGATCTTTCGCTCCATGATCTTATCTCTGAGAATACAAACAATGACTTCAGGCACAAAACTCATGAAAATACACTCAACTGAAATCTCATGAGATGAGGCTTACCTCTTAAAGATTCTAAATTATGATAGTCCAAGAGAAAAAAATGGATTCAGCAGCAACAGTGTGCTGTGACGAGTTAAATGTCAGCTTCACTGTTAAGTTGAGTAACAGCACCAGAAGCAGCTCACAGAGCTGTCAGATGTTTCCAAAGCCAGAGGTGAAGTGCCTGATAAGAGGCAGCACGCAGCAGAGAGTTGCACAAGTTACAACCCATGCAGTTCCTGCGTCACTGCAGAGCCAGTGTGATTCATTACTCCTGAATCAAAGTGCTGCCGGTCCTGTTTATAAAATCAGAAATGTGTGATTTCATGAGGAAAATTATTTACTGGGTTCATGCATAGGCACGATTTCTTCATCTGAATAACTACAATAGATTAATCACTTACAATCAAGGAAGAGTTTAATCATCAGTATTTATTATTTCCCAGAAAGGCTAATGAGCACCAAGGTTTTAAAAGCAGAGAGAAGTTCAATTTTATTGAATGTGTAGAAGTTATAACATTTGAATCCATTAAGTGTATAGGGCTTTCTTTTAAATCATTACTAAATAGATCATTTTGATTAAAGCAGTTTTCAAAGGAAAATTTAAAAAAAAAATCCATAAAGAATAAAAAAGACTATTTGGATTCACAAGCAGTATAAAAAACTATGCTTTATAAATCCTTCCATTCCATGGAAGAATGGATGGATTTGGAATTTACATTAACAGCAACTCAGTGCCAGATAAGCGGAAGAAGATGGATGGATCATGGATCAGGTCCATTCATGGGGAAAAAAGGTGGTGTGTTATTGATTAATGCTAATAAACCACAATCTTCTTTTCAGATGAAATAGAAGCTTTAATAAATCTTATGATGCACATTCTTCAAAGAAAACAGTACCAAATATAAACAGAACAAAGTAAAAAAATAAGTTCATATAACTTACATTCACAATACTACAAAAAAAAAGCATGTAGCTAATTTCACATTGATATCCATAGCATTGTATGAAAAAAAGGTTTGATGGCCATAAAAGTGCAATCACACTTACCAACCGAAGAACAGGGTAGATGTTAAAACCAACAGCGAGGTGACTTTAATATATTTCGCAGTAAGGATTAAGACAATAAAACAATCGAAATGTTTCCTCATACTAACATCTTTGTCGCTTTTTGTTTTTTCTGTAACTGGAAATATATTAAAAAGTTTATTTTTACTCTCCAGGATCTGTAACTGAGGCTGGTGCACTGTGTGAGTAAAGAGGCGCGGGATCATCAAATTTATCATCATGGAAAAGTGCAACAAAATAAACAAATTCAGGTCTGTACAGCTCCCATCGCTTAAGTTTTACAGTAACTAAGAGTGTGTAAAGGCACATTGTGACTGCTCACAGGCTTAAACACAGTTTGCTTGCAGGAAGTTGCAGGCTTATCAGTAGGGTGGGTCTGTTTTTGTGAATTGCCCACTCGTTTTGGGACAGATTTAGAATTTCAAGTTCACAATTTTGAGAATAAAAAGAAAACCCTTGAAATATGCACTTGGGGTGGGGGAAAAAAGGCACAGCTCAGTTGTTAATCAAGGGCGAGTCTTTGAAAATAGCCACAAGTATTATTTTCTTTAAAAACACTTGCTTTGTTCGTAATCAAAGAAGCAGACATGAACTCCTTGCAAGAACCCACATGGGAACAAGGGGAAACTCATCATTGGTAAGCTGCTTCCGTTGCAGCCTACTGTTAAATAGAGTACATGGAAACAAATATTATCCGACAGTAACAGCAAACATTCCCAATCTTATATACAAACAGCCATTTATGCAAAAACAAAAATACAACTATGTAAAACAGAACAATTTGCATGCTCATTTTTTTCTTGTAGCCTACATAACATGGACTTTATTGTCTGCACTGGAAATAAATACTAACATAATTATATCATTTATGACTTTGAAAGGAATACAGCTTATATTATTACTGTGATATGTTCTGCGTGAACCAATAAGCCACTCGAGCAGCTTCACTTTCACACTCCTGAATAAACACTTTTAATAGCCGGCTTTTTCATGCCTGTGACTTTTCTTTTTTTTTAACTCAGTGATAAAAATCTGTCATTACCAGTACGCCTTGAACTACAAAGAGTACTACAGCACACAAACAATGAGGAAAATAGCCATATTCAGGAGGTAAATCGGACCTTGCGACCTTGTGAGTAGCAAACGATGCTACTGGATTGAACTGAAATTTGGTCCCATTAACATTACGTTACCTACGAGGAATAACCTGTGCTTAACAGGTCACAATTTCATTCCTTACTCTTTTATGATGTGACACTTTAAAGACAAGCTATAAATGCTTGCTATCAGTACCTAAGAAGGACATTTTATTTTGAAATAAAGGATTTTAAGAGGACTTGGATAAAACTAAAAACTATAGTTTAACTGTAAATATCCAGGAACCACTTTATTTCTTTTTTTCCCAAATCACCAAGTGTTGGTGAATCTGCCAACAGCCCCCAGCCAGCATTGTGTAGTCATTTAGTGAGTCACTGCTTTTAGACTTCACCGGAATCAAGTTTAAATGAAGATTTGCTGTAGGTGACAAAATAGGCTGAATGTGTGATAGTCATTAAGTCTTTGGAGTGAAGCTTTAGCTTGAGCTCTTCATATTTGTGATTCTCCTGTTTGCTGCCCACTCTTTGAACCCTAAAGGGAGACAAACCACACGGTTAGACACAGAGTAATTTAAAGCTAATAATTACACACCCCTAGTAGATTAAAAAGTACCAAAGTGCTACCAGTGAGAAAATGCAGTTCTTTACTTTCCACTACAAAGTGTGCTTGTGACCGATGATGATATCCAGTGGTATTATTGCATGCTTACTTGTGATTGACTGCTGGAGGGATTTGTGGTGCTTAGGTCTGAGTATCTCTTCTTCTGTGACGTGCAGATACAGGAGAGGAAATTGGCATATTCCTCTCTCACCTACAGAGGGCAACAGAACATTAAGAAACAAATCTGTGTTGCCACCTCGCATACTGACACAATCTAGCATGTTTGTCACTGCTTTTGCCCTTTTCACTGATTTTATTTAAATATACATTTTCATGCTGTTTTAATTTCGGTCTTAGCATCATGTCCACATGAAGCTTTACAGAAATATACTGTATTCGTACCTGTTTGGACAGCAGACAGTGCATGATGAAGACCAGTGCGCCCTGCAGGCTGTTGAAGATGGTGAAAATGTACGACACCGCAACAGGGGGATCCTCTTGAAACAAGAAGACCCCAGATACCCACATCAGACCCAGAATACACATCTGGGCTACAGCTGTCACAGTGAAAGCTCTGCAGACGGAAAAGAAGGATGGGAAAAACGGTAAGTCAATAAAGATTACCAGAGAATGGTAAAGGTTACACACGGATGACTCAGTTACTACATCAGTGTTTGGAAAGCCCCATTAAAAGTGAAAGAACACAATGAGACATGTGTTCTAGGCAAAGCAGCTACAGAACAGATCATTTTAGTTCACTTTGCTGTCTGCTGAATGTATGTGGAAGCAGAAAAGCCAAAGGCTAATGATAAATATAAAAGAGAGATTAAAAGAGGCACTCTTAAAAAGAAGTTTCTGTCAGTTTGCTCTGTATGGCTCCTTTGTTCTATTTATTTATCCAGCCTAGCTGAAGTTACCAACTTAGCCAAGAATCCATTTAGCAAACAAGAAGATCGAAATGTGAAAAAGAGACTTTTCTTCCACAGACAGAAAGTGTTGGATTATAATTTAATGCCTTCTGACTTTTTCCTCTACTGAAAAAAAAACATCTTTCTCTCTTGTTTCTGGCACATGAAGTTCACTTTCCCAACTCCTTGGACTGAACTACACATCATTCATGATCGACTAGCAAAAGGAACAAGGGATTCTTTTTCTTTTTAACTCTAATGTTTTTTGCAGCTATGAGCGGAGGGTCCATGAGCTAAGTATGAGCCTACTGTAGGTAGACAGGCGAGACAAAATCCATTAACAGAAGCTCATCGGGGAGCTGTCACAACTAAGAAAACATTCCCTCCATTTTTTCCCCCTCACAAAACGTATTCTTTCTATCAAAGCAATTCCCAGTCCCGAAGCTGCCATATTGAATCTATATATTGTACGTTTTATAGTTACACAGTTTGGTCATGCAGTGGAAGGGGTTACACATTCAAATTAATACACAGACTGACTTAATTTTGTGCAGGTTGGAGAGGTCTGGGTTGAGGCTGGCAAACTTCTGGGCAAGTTTCCAGACGGTGATGATAAAGAAGAAGACATTCACAAAGATGACTAAGCACACAGGCCCGAAGAAGCTCCAGACGAAGCCGTCATCCGTGGACAGCCAGCAGCTACGTTTAGGAGTGATAAAACACACATTCACAACAGGATGTTCTTCGCTTCACTGAGATAGATAGCATTAAGTTTATGCAACCTACTGATGTCATTACTATTAAGCAACTGTAGAAACACATGCACAGACAAGGCTTCTCTGGTCATTACTTTTAGTTACTGGAAGACTTACTATTTTTTAGTGCCGTATCCGTTTGGTCTAACGCAGGCGGATATAACGACGATAAACAGAGGCGTCCCGTAGCCCACAGCATATAGGTAGAGGGGCCGCATGGTGGCATTGAACACCAGAACAACCATACGGTACAGCTGCACCCCTTCTAACAGCATCCAGGTGAATACCGCCAGGAAGAAGAAATGGAGCATTGCTGCAACAAACCTGCAGCCACCCTGTAATGTGAAAGGACACAGAAAAAGAACACGTCAGAGAGGAGAAAGCACCGCTCTATCCCCGATCGTACAGCAGTCAGCCGCTTGCAATGTTTCTGTGAGTGAGAATTATTCACACAAACATTTTCTATTCTCCAAATGTAATTAAGACCACATGAATAAGTAGCTTAGCAGCATTTTACATCTTTACTGCCAATGTATTAATGGAGCAAAGATGTACATAAACATCAGAAAACACAGTACCACAGCACCAATTCTGCTCAACTCATATGGACAAGGATAACAAAATACACCATTTTAGCATGTAATGCTTCAAGGTCAGACATCATTTTTGCTTATCGGGAACCTTCAGTCATGTGATCTCTCTGAAGGAGAAGAGACTACAAAGTAACTCTTGA